TTCGCCTTGTACAGAAACATGTTGAATCCAATACACGTAACAAGGATTTCACATAGCAAGATAGTGTGTTTAGATACTACAAATTTAGCCCCCCAAAAAAATGCGATAAGCTATAATGCGGTAACTAATTTTATGTTTCTTTAAACCAACTGCTTAGATTTTGGAATGATTGGTGATCGTCGAACCAAAACTAAAGAAATTAGAGTTTGAATGTATAGGTCGTTTTGATGACATTGTGTTGAGGCAAAAGCAATTAGCGTTGTCTAAAACTAATTTGAAGTCTGATGTTACATCATTGAGAAAAAGATTTCCTTTCGATGATCTCAAAGTTTATTGGGGGAAAAAAATGAAAGAAAGCAAAAGAAATTGTGGTATTTGTACTGAGCAACAAGGTCTAATGTTGCAAAGTGTACTATCAAGGCAGTTATAAACATAAAATTATATGTATGTTAATTGGTTTTCATTAAACTGATATGTTGCCATGTTTAAGTTTCAACCTTGAAACTTTTTGCCTCTATGATTCCAAGGTTCCGAATAAGGATGACAATGTTACATTTAAGGAACTGGACGATTTTGAACTCACCAAGGGTGAATGCGTGAAGATGACTAATTAAAAAAACACTTATCTGGGTTCTAAAACAATGGTTAATTTGGATTAATTGAGCATATTTTTATTCATTTGTGCGGGTTTACATTGGGGCAGATTTGGGGAGATGACATTTTTCATCTTTGTATATTTCATTTTTTAAAATCATTTTTCATACATTCTCCTTTTAACCGTTTATATAAAATATTGATTTACTTATTTTCCCTTAGAAAGATGGACATGTGTTTTGAGCATGTATATTTAACGAACTTTTAACCAAATACGTATCCAAGCGTTTGGGGATAATGCAAAAATAAATAAATAAATAGAGTTCGAGACTAGTTTGCACTTTTTGAAAGGATAAGAAACCCAGATGAAAATTTTCCTTAATTATAAGTACTAGTTGCTATCACGTGCGTTGGAAAAATTTTGTATTTATTGTATTTTTATTGGTGTGTATATTTTAATTTTTTTGGAAAGTTTTTAAAGCAATATCTAAAACTATTTCCATGATATAAGAAAATAATTACAAATTATTTTTATAATTGCATAACAGTATGTTATCTAGAAAAAAATATGCTTGTATATTTCATACTTGAATAAGAAACATACAAACTGTTTTGCTTGTATTCTTTGATAGTGTTGATATGATTGAATTGAATGTGAAGATTATATTTCTAAAATTTTTGTAATTCAATATTATAAAATTGAAAGAAAAAAACTCTCTACACTGTGTGGAGAGAGTTTAACCAAGTGCGGAGTAAAAATAAAAAGTAAAAAAGTTGCGGAGAGAAAAAAAAATCTCTCCGCACAGTGCAGAATAAAAAAAAATATCTCCGCACAATGTGAAGAGATGACGAACCAACTCTTCGCACAGTACGAAGAGCAAACAAAAACTCTCCGCACTGTGCGGAGAGAGTTAATCTCTTCGCACAGTGCGGAGTGTTGGTCCTCACGATGGCAAAACTTTTCGCACAGTGCGTAGAGAATTGAATCATGTGCGAAATAAAAAAAAAGTGCGGAAAGAAAAAAACTCTACGCACAATGTGGAGAGGGTTGAATCATGTGCGGAGAGTTGACAAACTCTTCGCACAGTGCGAAGAGTTGTTTTCAAATTCCTTAATTACAAGTCAAATTTCAAGATTGTAAATTTTTCGTATATACAACGAAACAGAGTCGAAAAACATGGCTCAAAATCAATTATGTCTTCTTTAAATTCTAGTCACATCTCAATTTTTGAGCATGCAAATTATATTTACGATATTGGAAAGGAGCTTTTTCGTGATTCATAAAATGAAACAATATATGAGTTGTGCAAAGAAGGGGATATTGATAATACCATGTCATTGCTTTCACAAATGAAAGCTCTAGGGTTCCACCCAAATTCAATATTTTATATTTGCTTGATAACAGCTCTTGGACATTAGAAGTGGATACAATTTTCAATAAAATTATACTTTCGGGTTATAGGTCAGGAATTAAAGTGTTCAATGCATTGCTCAAAAGTTGTTTGAGAAAAGGCCTCTTGAAACTTGCAGATAAAGTCCCGAGAGTTTTTTTTTCTCTTCATACTGTGCGGAGTGATAGTTTGCCATCTCTCCGCACTTTGCAGGGTCTTTTTTTCCTCATGTGCGAAGAAATTTTTCTCATAGAGTTTATATACACTAAATTTTTTTTTTTAATGTTGTTGACATGATGCGTATGTAGAAGAATATTTGTCAATAATTATAAACAAATTTTTTCACAAAATGCAAAAAATAAAAATGCATAATAAATCTTCTTATTACGCTGATAAAATTATAATAATTTTTTTTTGTTTTACAAATAACATAAAAAAATCATTTTTATCTTCAACAAAAAAACACATTTAAAAATTAGCAATTTCATAACCACTTTTTTTTAAATTCTCGAAAATACAATTATAAAAAAGGAAACAATATTGAATTATAACATTTAATAATTAAGAAATTCAATATTAAATAAATTTTATACATTTATAACAAATTATAAATCTATATATACAATTTACCGTATTTGCAGGCAGCTTACCGTATATGCTATTTATCGTATTTACAATTTACCGTATTTGCACCTTACCATATATGCTGCCTACCGTATTTGCAAATTACCATATTTGCAGCCTACTGTATTTGCAAACAACTTACCGTATTTTCACCTTACCGTATTTGTAGCTTACCGTATATGTTGCCTATCGTATTTACAACTTACCGTATAAGCTACCTATAGTATTTGCAGCTTACTGTATTTTTATATATCGATTTTTGCACTTACGAATACCGAGAATGAAGAACATCGTACATTCACTTACCAAAACGAATTTTAAAAAAAAATTTAGATTTTTATTTTTTCAATATAAGCATAAAATAAATATTAAATACATATGAAGTACAAAATATAAATGCATATGAATATGGTGTTCAATCTTCAATTTTCCAATATTGAATTACACAAAATTTAAAAATATAATCTTCACATCCAACTCAATCATATTAACACTATCAAAAAATAAAAGCAAAATAATTTGTATACTCTTGTATATTTCTTATTCAAATATGAAATATTCAAGTATATTTTTTTAGATGATACAATACTGTTATGCAATTGTAAAAATAATTTGCAATTATTTTCTGATATCATGGAAATATTTCTAGATATTGCTTAAAAAACTTTCCAAAAAATTAAAATTCATACACTAATAAAAATACGATAAATGCAAAATTCGTACAACGCACGTGACAATCACTGTGCGGAATTTTTTTTAACTTCACACTGGAGGAGAGTTTGCTAACTCTCCGCACTGTGCGAATTTTTTTTTTACTCCGTACTGTACGGAGAGTCCGCACTTTGTGAGGACAGTGTCCGCACAGAATGTTGTCTCTCCATACCATCTAGAGAGTTTTGCCATCTCTCCACACAGTGTGGAGATAAATTTTTTTTACTTCGCACTGTACGGAAAGTTTGTCAACTCTCCGCACATGATTTGTCATCTCTGCGCGTTATGTGAAGAGTTTTTTCTTCATTTTTTAAAGCTCATGAGCGAAGATATTTTTTTTCTCATAGCAGTTTATATTTACTAAAATTATTATTATTTTTTAATACTGGTGACATGATGTGTGGAAGAACATTTCTTTAACATAATTATTTTTTTAATGCTAGTAGCATGATGCGTGGAAGAACATTTGTTTCACATAAGTAAAATGGAAAATAAAAAATGATGACATCATGTATTGTAAAATTGAATTAAATTACTATTGCATCAATAGTAAACTCCCATTTCCCTTTTTATTAGAAGTTAGAAACTATTTAAAACTTAATCAAACACACCCTTAAATCTTATTATTTTACAGGATTTCTTAATTCTTAAGTTTGTCAAAGTAGGGACCCCTACGTATGGCGGGCCTCACCATATCCTGGCAACGATTTCTCCAAATCTTAATAGTCCTAATTCCCCAATTTCTATTGGCTAAAGTCCAAACTGATCAAACATTACAAGACACTTGGCCCTTATTTAGCACCGCTAAAAAATTTGAATAAAATTTAAGTCAAAGTTAATAATTAATTTTAACGATATTTTATACATAACTTTTCAATTATGTCCCTGTTTGATGCCCATTACTTGAAAATGAAAATTGGGAGAATAGTATTTTTTAGAAAAATGAGTGATTAAAAAAGAAGGAAAAGTTTTCGATTTACGTATAATATTATTTTATGAAAGATTGTGTAGTTAAAAATAGAAGAGAGAAAAATAGAATATAATGTAATTTAATTTAATGGTGATCAAACAGGGGCTATACATTCTATCAATTTTTATCAAAATCTGCTCAAAACCTAAGCTCAACTTGGTGAGGATTAAAATCAGATTTTTAATAGATTTTGATAGAAATTGATTAAATGAATGATTTAAAAGTTGTGAGTCTCATGAAATTTATAGTTAAAATTAATCGTTGACTTTAACTTAAATTAAAATTTTAATTTTAATTTTTACCAAACAGTGGCTAATTTTAATTTCTACCAAATATGGGCTCAAATTCAAATGGCCAACAACATTCGTAAAAATTCAATTCAAAATCAAATTCTGACTGTTTAATGGTCATTTAAAAAAAAAGAAAAGAAAGAGTTTTGAATAGTTTTTTAAGAGACTATGCGATTAAAAAGTATTAAAAAAATTTAAATTTACTTATAAAATATTTTATTGTGTGAATGTGTGATTAAAAATGATTATACGAAAAAAAAAATGATTTTGGTAAGAATTGGAATCAAACACAGCTCATGTTGTTTCTGGATGGACAAAAAATCTCGAAAACACCCCAAAATATCTGAACCCAATTGGGACCCACATGTCCACTCTTTCGACCAAACCTCTTTTCTTCAACTTTTAAAACAACAAAATAAACTGCCAGGTTGGGTCTTCTGCTCCTTCGTCCCCCTTTCCGTAATTCCTTCAAATTAATTATTTGTTTCCTAGTACTTTTTCTTGTCTTGAAAATATGTATAATGGAAAACTGGAGATTGCTACAGTGACAGTTGAACAGGAAATGGAAAGGGGAGGATCACCCTCCACCGCCTTATGGTTCTTGGCTGATATTTTTGGATTCAGGGCGGCGGCAGTACCTATATATATGTATATATGCAACACCACCACCACTCATCGACCATTTTTCACCAATTATACACTCCACAAAAATCCCACCGGGATTTTCTCTCTAATCTGCTCCAAAATCCCAAGAAACCAATTCAAGAACATATTTTGATAATGGATCATGAAGATTATAAAAGCCTATTTTCTTACTCTTATTCTTCTGCGGAGTGTGATATTTCTACACCGCCTAATACGATGCCAATTTCTTCATCAAAATCCTTCCCTTTGCCTTTATCAGTGGTACCTCCATTTCCTAAACAACCAGAGCCCCTACCTTTATCAAACTTTGATTCTTTTCCACCCCAGTTTGAATTCAAAGGCGCCCCTCCAACTGGAGAAACTGCAGCTCCGAGTACTGTAGGAGTTTCTGGGGATTCATTCGGTATGCCACAGCCTATGGAGTGCTTGCATGAGACCCCAATTCCTCCTTTCTTGTCCAAGACTTTCGATTTGGTGGATGATCCTCCATTGGATTCTATAATTTCTTGGGGGGCAAAGGGTGACAGCTTCGTTGTGTGGGATCCTGTGGAATTTGCAAGGATTATTTTGCCAAGGAATTTCAAGCACAACAATTTTTCAAGTTTTGTTCGGCAACTTAATACATATGTGGGTATCCATTTAATTTAACTCTGGGATGTTCTTGGTCTACATATCTATTGATTCTTAATTTCTTTGTTTCATTCATCTTGCTTTTGTATGTATATTCTTCTGTAATTTTTGTGTTTTTTCTATGTACTTTTTGGAATCCGTTTCTTGTAATTTTATTTAGCTAGATGTAAATGAAGCTGTAGAGCATTTTAGTGCTGGTGGATCACAGGCTTTTTGTACTGAAAGACAAATAATGTAATTTTGTATTAATACATTTCTTTGTGTTAAAATTTTGTGTAATCTTGGTGATATTTCGGGTTTGTTATGGTGATGTGATGATAGTAGTATGAATAGTGTGTCATCGTTCATCAATCCAACCTGATAGTGCTGAGATGCCACAATTTTCTCCTTCGAAAATACGAACTCGATCTCCCTGGACTGATTGCTGAAATTTGGAGGTTCATCTATTCACAGGTAGTATTTAAATCGGTGGACGTTTCCTGAGTTTTATGCATCTAATTACTTTCTTTGGGACTGATAAAGAATTGTACTGATTTGTGTGTGTATAGCACAATGCAGCTCCTCGTACTTGTGGATATTGACCGTGTGGATTTTGACTTGTGATCCTATATAGTTATTTTCTTAGGACAGTATTCTTCTTCATCCATGGTGAATTTTGTTTGTTGAACATTAATTTGTGACTCATTTTTGGGTACTTGTATACAGGGATTTCATAAAATTGATACTGACAAGTGGGAATTCGCCAAAGAAGGATTTATAAGAGGGAAGAGACATTTATTGAAAACGATCCAGAGACGAAGAACACCACAATCTCTGCAGAATGGAAGCTCGTCTGGATCATCTAGTGAGGCAGGGAAAGCTGCATTGGAAGGTGAATTGGATCATTTAAGAAAGGAGAAAAGCTCAATGATGCAGGTAGTGGTTGAAATGCAGCATCAGCTGCAGGATACATTTCAGCATATGGAAACTGTTAATGATAAGATCCAGGAAGCAGAGACAAGGCAGAAGCAAATGGTTTCGTTCTTGGCTAAAATGATCTGGAATCCAGCCTTTCTAGCTCGTATTCAGCAAAAGGAGCAAAAGCACATAACTACGCCAAGAAGAAAATTTTTAAAACGTCAACATGAATCAGGTACTGAGGGGAAGATTGTTAAGTATAAACCCGAACTAAGAGATTTTGCTGTAGCTTCTGAACCTTTGGAGTTTAATCCCAATACAGTCAAACAATTTCCTGATTATCCTTTGCAAAATACGGGAGAAAACCTTGCTTTTGGTAGAGAGAATGTCCCTCTTCAGGTTGAGAACACAGATTGTGGTGAATTGGCGCAGGTAACCCCGGAACAGGCAGGAGTTTCAAGTCTGAACACTCTAAATCAATTTAAAATAGGAAAGAATGTAATGAATCCCGAGCAACAAGACACTCCTGAATATGTCTACTCTTTCCCTGAGGACTTGGCTAGGGAGAAGAATTATCTCGAAATATCGTCGCCGGAAGTTGAAAGTATGGTCAAAGAAGAGGTTGAGTGGAACTTAGGTTTTGAAGCTAATGCTGGTATGTCTAGTTCTACAAACGAGTTATGGGGTAATCTTAGCAATTATGAGGTGCCGGGATTAGGTGTTAGCAGTGACATATCTGATGTTTGGGATATAGGTTCCCCACAGCCCTGGGGAATGTCAGGCATTGAGACGTGGCCAGACGAAGACTTACCCCTTAAATGAGCTAGAGAACCGAGCTGGCCAGCCTAGATATTATAGTTACTGCGTTTAATACACTTTGGATTGGTTTTCTTTATGCTGATGAACAGTGCATCATTTATATAATATAGATATTAATTTGTTATTCCTTTATTTTCTTTCTTTTACATTTATTTTTCACCTATTTCAGTTAATTTTCGGAAGTTAATTTCAAGATCATTGTAGCGCTTGAACTTTGTAAAATCGTGACAAAATATGCTGAAATTTCCTGCTAACAGATGTATTTAAAGTTATGGATGTGCAGGTTTTGGGACGATTAGAAGGTGCAGTCAAGCCATGGCAGGAGTTTGTGTTTATGAGTTTGGCAGAGGCTATGATGGGTAAGATATCTCAATATAGAAAAGCACATCTATTTTCTTGCTAAGCACAGTTATTTTCCCTGTCCAACTTGAGAAGATGTTCCACTAAATTTTCGATGTTACTTGAGAAGAACTGTCGATATGCTCTACAGTTTTACATGCAATAGCATAGTAACATGTTGAGATTATAATGCCTACCGCTGATACGAAAATAATAATAATAATAATAATCCGTTGAAGTGACATGTCATATCAACAGTGGACATCATATTTTCTGTCCATCTTTATAAAGGGTTGAAAATGAACAATACAATAAGTAAATCAACAAACAAACTGTGTTCAGTCCCTCTCATTCATTCACGAATCAGTAATCTCTTTATAAAGATCGAGATCTTGAAAAGTCGCCTCCTTTTAAAGGGCTTTGATTTGCCTAGGTGTGCATTCAGGCATTGCCAGATAATCTCAGCTAACCATCAATTTAAATGGCATGTAATTGTATGTGTAGAATTTAACCATCTGTTGGAATGATGATAACTTCCCTCTGGATTCTCTCAAGTTCATGTAAACTATTATTTACCCTAACAATCCTGCAGATTTATATGATTAAAAATGAAACGAAAATAATTGAAAATAATTCCTCAGGCAGCTGCTCAATCTGTCGCACATCCAGGATAAGCCATATTCGACGAAATGGGTCAATTAACAACACCGATCATTGTGAAACCCGCTGTATCCACATTAATGCACAAGAATTTGGGCTTCTTCGATGTTGACTGCGTTCAAATTTTAAAGAAAGAAGAGGTAATGGGAGTCATCTTTCATGACGACAAAATTAAAAGTAAACTCGAAAGAGAAAAGTCATGTATCTTATGAGTAGTAACGTGCTTCAAATATACAAATTTGCAGTCATAGTTTAGTGGACTTCAGTTGAAAATAAATATTAAAAGCATATAACCACTTGTGCGTGTAATAAAATCCCATTTGGGCTATATAGATAAACAGCAAGGCCTCATGCATGTGACTCCACTTCAACATATAGCAATAATAATTTTCAATGCAACGATCTTGCATATAAATATTGAAATTTAAAGTTTAACACCATTTAACTAATCTCAAACTAGGATAAGTATATAGTGAAGCATAAATATTCACAGTCAATTAGATTAAATATCTTAGTAAACATTTATATGCGAGTGATCGTAAATATGGAGTTTTTTATGTATAAAAAGTCTCCATAGTTGGACATCAAGCTCTAGATGATGGAACGAAGAACTCATAAAGAGTTGGGACCCTTAGCCAACTTTGAAGCCTAATTATTAAATAGTTCTTTTAGCTATCACATTCCGTTGAGTGCTGGCGTCCCAAAATCATTCTGGGGTGAAGCTATTGTTACTTAACATGACTCAATCTAATGCATTAAATGGTGACATGCTTTATGAAAAAAGTGTTCTCATTATTCTGCATATAAATCTTCTTGTTGTGCTGCATTTTCTCATCAAAATAAAGGAAAACTTGAACTTAAAGCTAGAAAATGTGTCTTCCTTGAATATCCAAAGGAGTTAATGGGTATAGGTTATGGATAGAAGCCAGTGGGGGTTAAGATAATCAAAAGTAGAAACATTAAATTTAATAAATCTGAAATGCTTTGTTTAACGTTTGATTACGCGCAGCAATTTGAGTGAAAAGCAACAAAAAATAATAGAGATCAATTCTATGCAGAGTTAGAAAAATAGAGTACACATATTCCTACTACCTCTAATAAGGTGGATGTTATTTTAAACATCCAGTTTGAGGATCGATTTGTAACTGTAAATGAAAAATTGCAGAAAATTAAATTGGAAAGAACACATAAATTCTTCGCCCTCGAAAGGGCCCGGATGTTCAGTCGTGAGACCTAATCACCCGTTGAGCATCCACTAAGGGATTTAGCTCAAGATCCACTAATATCAACTAAGAAACAATACAAATGTGCGAAAAAATCTCAGATTTCTTCGTATTTCTCTCGCCTCTTTTTAAAACAGAAAGAACCTCACAAAATTAGTATCTATCGATTGTACTAAACAATCAGATTCTATCACTAAGAACAACCATTTCAATCACAAAGATCGATTTCAATTTTAGAGATCAAAATCCAAATTTTCACTTAGAAAACGGAGAGACGAAGAGACTGAAAGAAGGATCCAAAGAGTGTGAATAGTGCCAAGGTCAAGTATATATTTGATCAATTCAACAGTCACAATCGAAGGGCTGGAATGAAACCATGTGGACGGCAGATTCACACCCCTCAAAGAGGCTAAAATCGTGTTTTCAAAATATGTTTTTGCTAAAAGGTCAGCAACCCAGATAAAGATGCGGCCCAAAAATCCAAGATTTAACGTGGCAACCCAAATTCTTAACAGTGGAGAATCAAATTCAATAATATGTAGAAGAAGATAGGGGAAAAACTGTGGTAGAGGGGCACCCAATTCACCATGACCTTTAGTAGACTACCCGGTTAGCTAGAAATAGAGATATGAGATAGCATAGGGAGCCTTGAAGATTTGGGTATATTCTAAATTTGCTATTTCCTATGCTACTTACCAAAAGTTAGTTGATAAAGAACAAAAAACATACGAGTATAAGAACAAAAAACATACGAGTATGCTATGAAAAGTGAACAATCAGATGAGTAGCTGAAAGCAATGAAAGTGGAGATGGGTTCCTTAACTAAGAAGAAAACCCGTGAATTAGTCCTAAACATAAGAACAACTTAATAGTTGATTGTGAATAGAGTTTTAAGGTCAAAGAGGATATCACGAAGATTGAAACTTTAAGATTCAAAACTAGATTAGTAGCTAAGCGTTACAAAGAAAAGGAATGGGTAGATTATAATTATATTTTTCACATGTTATAAGCATACCATAATTAGAGTCATGTTTGAATTGGTTGCATACTTTGACTGGAATATTGAATAACTTGATGCTAGACCTCATTTTTAGCATGATGAACTTGATAAAAAATCTTTTTGAACCAATAATAGGGTTTTAAAGATGAAAAAAATTTGATTATGCGTATTTTCTAAAGAGGTCGTTATATAGTTTAAAACATTCACTTACACAATGGTACAAGATGCTTGATTCATTTGTCCTAACTATTGGTTTTCAAAGTAGTAAATTTGATTATTTCTTGTATTATCAACATAATGATATTAATAGTGATTGTGTTCTTGTTATTGTATATGACGATATGTTATTGAATGGATCTTACATGAAGTTGATAAACGAGATGAAAATAACCTTAAATAGAGAATTTGACATGAAAGATCAATTGTGTGCAGGAAGGTTGCCCTAATTTTGTGAGATGAGTTTTCATTACTCATATCTATTCTCAGCCGATTGTAGTCTGTAGAGCCAGACCCGAGGAGAGGTCCAAGAGGCTGCTGTCGGTCTCAGGCCCAGTTCTTTACAGGGCCCAATTTTTTTTTTTTGGCCTTGTTGAGGTTCAATCTTGTGCAATACCTATTTTTGTTCAACTTATCTGGGTAGATGAAGTATGTAGGATGTTGTTTCCTATTCTTTATCCTTTTTACTGATCCATAGCTATATCATCTCGATCATTCAACATCATAAATTTAGTTGTCCTTTTGTTTCCAACTTATTTATTCCCCATGCCATTGTTTTCCAACACTGCATTGAATTCTCTGCCTTCACAAAATTCCTATCATGTCTGTGGCTGTGGGTCAATTCTCAGAAATAAATGTCAAGCCCATTATTTATAGTTCCGGTCAAAGCTAATAACTCTAATATACCTAATTTTTGTGTAGATTTCAGTGCATTGATGTTTCATGATGGTTAAATCTCTCTGTTGCATTTCCTGTTCTGTCCTGTTCAATCCACCACATGCCATGGCAAGAACATACATAAGTAAAGTTTACTAATTTTTTAAAAATTAACTCTTGTCAGAAAGTGCTTCACTGCACTTTTTTACGCCACAGACACCAAAATTTAGAGAATCAGTATTGTATTTACGATCGAAATTCTATCTTTTACCATGGTAAAAACAGTGATTCTTGTGCTGTCACGTGCTTATTGAAATAAAAACGCAACTAGAAAAAGAAAACTTGCTCCAAAATTTCATTATCATAAACTTTTATCTTACATTGTGATTTGGGACACAAACGCCAGCTTCTGTGATCACTTGTTCAATATACACAAGAGAACAAATTCTTTCGAGAATTCTTATGCTTAACCTAAAAGAATAACAGCATTCTTTCTACAAGCGAAGAACTGTAAAAAGTAGTATAGTATAGGTGAAAAATGTGAGAGCAGAAGAAGAAACTGCGAAGAGAGATTTCTGAAGACGACACCGCCCAACGCACTAAGACTGGGGAATGAATGTCCCAATATAACCAAACCCGGCGATGAAAAAGGCTATTGCTTGAGCGAAGAGGTAGATGAAATAGTGGTTTTTTCCAAATGCAAAGTCATAGCACCCGCAATAAAAGAGGTAAGCACCCGCAACAAGCTCTAACAGATGGAGCCTGTAGAAAGCTAACCAGTTAATGTTTGAGCCTATTATGGATAATACCCTAATTCAATAATTATCAAAAAAGCAATACAATGGTACATTCATACATATATATATTTATACCTCTCTCCGATCCTCAGTCGAGGTTTCTTGAAACCTTTAGCGGCTGATTTTAACTTATGAGCATCGCCAAGTTTCTCGGTGACAACCCATTCATTCACTCTCCCTGCCTCCAATAAGCCAATGAAGGTAGCTTTAGTCCGATGTAGTGACATGACATTCTCGTACAGGATCCAGAATACCAGCAAATGGAGTGACCTACATGTTTAAAATGACACGTGAAAGAACCTTAATGAAATTCAATTGTAGGACTCCACAAACATCTTGTATTAGGCCAAGAACAAAATCATGTTCAACTTAATTTCTCTTTCTGTTTTGCATCAAATTAATTTCATTCATACGTCAGTTCATAAAATGACAATTGTGTGTGTGCTTCAGAATGAACACGTGTTGCCTACAAGAATTAAGCTCCTTGTACATGGATATTTTTCAGGGATTTTTACAGGTGATGAGGTGACAACACTTGATTGACTAATTTGAAGTTGTTTTTTGTCCAACATTCAAAGAAATTGGGAGAGCTGGCAATCTGTCAAACTGCCTGACAAAATTCCCTTTACACATAGCAAGATTGTGCCTACAATTAGTGCACATTGCTACTTTTTGTCTAGCATGAGCTTCTTTGTCTCGATACACCAAATCGAACGGAGATAAAAAGAGATCAGCAAAGAAACCAAACCTCGGAGTCCCAACTGCATTGAGTAAGGTAATGATGGAAGGTATGTATACTGCTCCCCACTTCGGAACCTCAACTTCAGGTACTAATACTGTTGCAGGTAATACAACACAGTAGAACACGAATGTGACTATATGGGCTACGATCTTTCTGACGAAGAAGAAATTGTATATTACATGAACCTTCTTCCACGAAGACACTTTCTGCAAATAGTAAAATAAAATAAAGAAAAAGAAGTTCGATCAGAAATTGGGTTTTTATAGCTCATTCGATTATATTGAGGATCAGAGGAAGGGAGTGAGGAATTAACCTTGTTTTTTACAATCTCCATAAACATTTTTCTGAAAAGATTGGCAGGTCCACATGACCAACGATGTTGCTGATAGCGATAAGCCTTGAATGTGCTTGGCAATTCATTTTTCACCTTAGTGAAGAAAAAAAAGGATCGAACAGAAGATCAGTTCACGAATGATATGCTAATACCAAAATATCGCCTTGTTCCCTGCCACTTCGCATAAGCATGTACACCTATACATAGGTAAGGGCAAACTACAAGTTTTCAGTTACGAGATATCCATCCTAGCCACGCATCTGATAAGCTCCACTTAGTCTTTTTGCCTCTATGGTATTTCAGTAATAGCCTTTTTCCCCCCAAGTCGGAAACAACTTTGACGATTATGCTTTATGAAGTTAGGTAGTTAAAAGAACTTATTTACATTATTGGAACAACAAAATCATGTCTTTTTGATATTGGCTATCTAGATGGAGTGTATATTTACCATGAGGGAACCGAGGTACAAAAACTTCCATCCTCTAAGACTAGCTCGGACAGCCAAATCCATATCCTCAACTGTTGTTCGATCCTTCCATCCTCCTGCTTCATCAATGGCTGCGATTCTCCAAACTCCAGCCGTCCCTTGTATTTATACAAGCACAAATTATATGATTCCATAAGATAGGCATGCTAAATAGAGGTAATAACAATCTTTAGCAAGTTTTCACCGAGAATTAGTACATTATTAATAGCTTCGACATAGATAATTAGACTCGAGATTACCATTGAAGCCAAAAAAAGCATAGGTAGATGATCCTACTTCTTGCTCCACAGTAAAATGGTAGTCTAGTGACATTTCTTGCATTCTTGTCATCAAGCATTCATCAGCATTTACTGATAAAATAAAATCCCAGGTCAACAGATAAAAAATAATAATTTATTATTCTTAAAATTAGCTAAGAAAATAACAAAATTAGTATCACAAAACTAAATGAAAATTGTCCTTTAGAAGAGAGGGGCTGAGGTCCACCACTCATAGCACATCACACGCCATTGCTTGGCATTAGAAAGACCAGACAGAAGGACAAATATAGTTTTCACCGAGAATTAGTACATTATTAATAGCTTCGACATAGATAATTAGACTCGAGATTACCATTGAAGCCAAAAAAAGCATAGGTAGATGATCCTACTTCTTGCTCCACAGTAAAATGGTAGTCTAGTGACATTTCTTGCATTCTTGTCATCAAGCATTCATCGGCATTTACTGATAAAATAAAATCCCAGGTAAACAGATAAAAAAAAAAAAAAAAAATTATTATTCTTAAAATTAGCAAAGAAAATAACAAAATTAGTATCACAAAACTAAAAATGAAAATTGTCCGTTAGAAGAGAGGGGCTGAGGTCCACCACTCATATATAGCACATCACACACCATTGCTTGTCATTAGAAAGACCAGACAGAAGGACAAATATATTAAAAGATTTTTGGGAGCGATTTTGAGAATTGATTTTATAACAGTTAGGAGAAAAGTAGAGGTCACTTGTGAGAGAGAATGAGTCAAACTTTACGGTTGGAATAGTAAAATAATGGTAAAAAAAATTAAATTTTTGGGGTGAAAAATTACTCCCAAACACCCCCTAACTTCAAAAATGTATTTTCCATCCCTTTGGAGAATGAAAGATTTTCTGGCATGTGTAATGGCCCTAAATATGGCTGCCTTTTTTTATGGCCCTATTTGGATTTTTTATGGCTGCTTTTTTCATAAAAATAAAATAAAAGGGTTTGTGGGGTTATTTATGTCCATCCACCAGACATGAATATTGAGTTCATCAAGAAATCAAACAATTTGGATGACCTTTGAATGATATTTGTTCCATATGTACCCTCACTAACTTTTTACTTCCACCAGCAGAAACAACCTTTTTCATGAGTCAAAATAAAACATTAAAAATCAACATCTGTTTATCGTACTATCTAGTCTAATTCAATTCAGTCGTGTTCAACCCGAATTAGTATTATGAGACAAATTACACGTGTCTGAAACTAAAAGGCCAACTAAAGTTGTAGATGTTGGTATCTATGGACCACTAAGATACACAGTCCTCGTCAAAATCTTGCCACCGACAGTTTCTAATATCACTTAGCAATTATTAATAATGTTATAATAAAGTAAATTAATCAAATATTTATCATACAAAATATAATGAAATTTTGAAGGGCGAGTTGTTACCAAACTTCCAACGGGCCTGAACTAGAGCAAGCTCGGGATTATGAAATAAGAAAGGGATAGTTTGCCAGAGGAAATTGGGTTCGGGTTGAAAATCGGCATCAAAAATTGCTACATAATCGCATAGTTTCACATAGGGGTGCTTTAATCCTTCTTTTAATGCTCCAGCTTTGTATCCATTTCTGTTGTCACGAATTTCATACTTGATATTAATTCCCTTGCCTGCCCACCTTTGGCACTCCAATTCTACCAGATTCTACCACACAACAAAAGCAAAATTAATCAATTTTACAGAAAAAAAAAGGCATTCATGTACGTAGAAAGAACGAGTTTAATGGGTTACCTTGATTAGAGGATCCGTTGAATCATCCAGAACTTGAATAATTATACGATCGGACGGCCAAGAAAGGCCACATGCAGCCCCAATTGAGAGTTGATATACCTATATATCCATGTACAGAAATGCCATCAAGATTTTGCAAGTAACTTTTGTGAAGTGTTCAAGAATGAATGATGAAACATGAAGAGAGAAGAAAAGACCTCTTTTTCATTGTACATTGGGATTTGAACAAGAACCATGGGATAAGCTGAATTTCCCAGCTCTAAATCATCTCTGAGTGGCTCCCGTTTGTAGCGTTTTTCTGGTTTTCTACCAAAAATTTTCACGATAGTGATGACAATTGCCATGTAAACTCTCTCAATGAACAACATGACTGACATTATCAAGCATAAAAATACAGCAACTTTAAGCAAAGGGAAGATCAATGGGGCTTTGATCTGACCCAAAATTATGCTAAATTGCTCGCTGATATCATCTCCAGCTCCCCCAAATGGCGTCGTGGATGTAATCTGGTCCATTTCTTACGAGTTTTTTTGCCGTGTCTGGGAGTTTAAAAAAACAGGGGATAGGGAAAACACTGAGGAAAACAGGGGCTAGATAGAAAAGTGAAGATCTGCCTGTGTATATATAGGGTTTGTCTTTGCCAAAACTGCAAGAATATTTATATTGTTTTGCTTCTGAAGGACGCTAGAAAAAAATGGAGGTAGAGCTGGAATGTCAGAAATCACTGGCTCAAAACTTCCACAGTAATTATACAGAAAAAAACCAATGCAGAAACTTCCGTGACACACGTTTGGAAAGGTGAATTAGACGACAGTATATAGCGTCCAAGGAAGAAAATGATTATTCAGCACGATCTAACCCTTCAGTCTCTTTGTCCCAAGACATCCTCACCAGTAGCTTGTAATAATGCCGAAAGAGAGAGAGAAGAGAGGAAGCAATGCTGAAAGAAAAAGAGAGAGATATGGAGGGAGAGAGGGAGGGAGGGATATGGAGAAAAGGAGAGAGAATCTCTCTTTATAGAAGCTCTGCTTTGGCTTCAGGTTTAGGTTTGCTTTTCTCTCTTCTTTTTTAAAATGAGATTTGTATTAATCCAGGAAGAGGATGTGTTATTAGATAATACGATGTAGAATGTGTTTGTAAGTATGGATTATGTATGTAATATAAGGTTTTGCATGGTAAGTACAACGGTCGACAACGTTAATATTTTTTAAACTTCATTTGAACTTAAAAGTGGGCGAATCTATCTTTGAACGACTCAGAATTGAAGAGGGAATGAATGAATGTGACCATCCATGACATCTGTGTGAACAGACAAAAATGCCCTCCAGAATATGTGGTCAAGTTAGCTCTCGATTGCAAGTTCATGGAACAATTATTATATGTCTATGAGATTAAAAAAATATTTTTAAATATATTTGGATAATTTTTTGAAAATGTTTTGTTTAAGTAGAAGAGTTTTTATAGAAAACAAACGTAAGATATCTCATTCAAGAATTTTTCTACAAGAAGCAAAACAAATACAGAAATATATTATATGTACAACGTGTAATACTGTCCCCTTTTCGTTTTTCCCTCCTTTTTTTCTTCAGTTGTTGTGTATGGGGGAAGGGACGGATCCAGAATTGGATCCACGATCGGGCTACAAAATTTCAAATCGGGCTACTACGCGGAAAAAAAAAATTTTACACGTAAAAAACTGAATTTTTACCCCCAAAAAAATAAAAAATACCTTGAAAAAAAATTCTTGGACTGGGGGGGGGCTACAGCCCAGCCCAGCCCCCCCCCCACCCACGCCCCCCAAAATCCGTCTCTGTATGGGGGTGTAAAGGTAGATAAGTGAGATTTATGTATATTAATTAAATGTCTTCGTTAAATAAAAATGGACTACATATATTATTCTAGAAGAAGACAAAAAAAAAAAAAAAAAAAAAAAAAAAAAAACATTGAGTTTAGTATGCATATTAATTTATAAGTTTAATCTTATTTTATTTACAAGAATCAATTTTTTTCAGTTTTCAAGTTAATTACAAAGGACCTTATGGCATATTAATGTTCTTCTATTATGTTATTATAATTTAATTGGTGCTTCTATTTAGCCACCGTTTGGCTCCCATTAAATTTTATTATATTACATTTTATTTTTCTCTCTTCTATTTTCAATTACATAATTTTTCATAAAATAATATTACACGTATATCGAAAACTTTTCCTTTCTTTTCAATCACTCATTTTTCAAAAAAATAAATAAATAAATTATTCTACACATTCTCATTTTTAGAAAATGGGGGCCAAACGGAGGCTTAATAGCGAGAGAATTTACCTTCAACGTATATTTAATCACAAATAAAGGAACAATCTCTTCCATCAATAGGTACTTTTGACTACATGAATATCGAAATAGATACAACACATGTCTGAATTCAATTCATTTGTTATATAAATCAGGGTCCGTTTGATTGTAAAGATGAAATTTTGGTGGAAATAAAACGAATTCAATGGAATCGAATTGCCTATAAATTGTTTTCCTGAGAATTATAAATTATTGTGTTTGATTGGTATAATTTTTCACGTGGAAAATATTGAAATAAAAGTGTAATTTTGTGTTCGTTTGACTTTGTTTTACATGAAAATTGTCAATTTAAGGGATGAAATTTACTGGTATTGGGGATGAAATTTGTTTCCATTGAAAATAATAATAATAATAATAATAATAATAATAATAATAATAATAATAATAAATTCAAGAAAATAATCTATCTTTTGATATTCGTTTGACTTTGTTTTACATGAAAATTGTCAATTAAAGTGAAATATTTTTTTTACCGTAATTCTTAGAATTTGTTTTCCAAAAAAAAAAAAAAAGGTTAACTACCTGGAAAATCAATTTCCATCATATCCCACAAAAGCTAGAAAACTACAACTCCCAAGAAATTCAAGAACTTAATTTCAATGAAAAATATAACACTATCAAACACACAAAGTTGGAAATTGACATTCTAATTCCATTTTGCCTAGGAAATTGGTGCCTATCAAACGGTGCCTTTTGAGGTAAAAATTGTATCGCATAAGAAGTATTGAACTAGTGTATAGAAATGTACAAAAACTATACAAGTTTGATGCAAGACTGGTATAAACATGTTAACATTCTTAATAACTCACAAGTATTTGCGCCTTTAGGATAAAAAAATTATAAACATTTTTTTTTCTTTTGTTTCATTCTCATTAGAGGGTAGGTGGGAAGTAATGGTATCCATATTGCTGTCGCGCTGGAATATAAAGCTTAAAGTGGCATGTATCATTATCACTCATAAAATATGGTATACTCTGTCGACAAATTAAGCCCTCAACAAGATTGTGACATCAACGGTTAAGAATAATCAACCCATAACAATAATTATGAAATAAAATTATTTAGTCAAATATAATTTAGTACGTTAAATTGGACATTACATAATTAAAGACGAGAAATGTGAGAGATAGGAAGTTTTACTTGTCCTATTTAGTGCATGATTGGCGAAGATTATAATCAAAATGGATCAAATATATTTTTTATTTACACAATGTATAGGATTTACGAATACTACTCACTTTTCATTCACATATTATGGGACCTACTACTTAAATTATAATTTAAACACCCTCAAACACACACGTCTTACTACCAAAATATACAATTAATATCTTCACATTTTAAATCAATATATGGACCTACCAATTGAATTTGTGACGTGGTTGTATTGCTATTATCAATTGGAATAAAAATTGACATCCATTTATTCAGATCTTATACGTAATAGAATGTGTACAAGAAATTAAGTGATTAATTTTTTTTATTTTTTTATTTATGATTGAAAAAAAAAATGTAAAAACTTTGACATTATCGAAGGGGATGAGACATGCATTAGCATAGAAACGGTATAAAAATGCCTCGATCAATTATGAACTTCTCTTCATTCATTTTATAGAAAGGGTCTGCAAGAGTGAAAATTCAGCAAAAAAATTTATTTATCTCATTTTTTCATGTATTTTATGAAAAAAGTGATTTTACCATCATTCGAAATGTGAGTTCTATGGAAATATTATAACTAACATAAGAACTCAAATTAATTTTTCTCCTTTGACAAAAATGATTATCATTTTTATTTTGACCCTAGAGCAACTCGAATGAGAACTACACAATAGGAATCGAAAGTTATGTTTACTCAAATTAAAATGATTTAGGGGGTGTTCTCTTTGTGTTTCAGTTTTGTGTTTTGAGTTTTGAATTCATTTTGAGTTTTGTATTTTGAGTGTTTGTTTTGAAATTGTTGAAAATGCGTTCTTTTTGTTAGTTTCTCAAAACAAAAAACAAAATTTTTTTTTTTTCAAATTTTGAGAATCACAACAACACCACCTCAAAACACCAAAAAAAAAAAAAAAAAAAAAATTTTTTTTAATTTTTGAAAATCACCACCCTATCTCCTCAAAAAAAAAAATTTTAATTTTTAATTTTTTTTTCTCCTCAAAAAAAAAAAAAAATTTTTATTTTTTATTTTTTTTTAAATTTTTAAAATCCCCCCCCCCCCCCTAAAAAAAAAAAAAAAAAAAAAGTGTTTCCCGCGTTTTCAATTTTTTCAAGTTTTACACTGAAAACGCCCAAAACGACAAAAAAGTCGTTTTGTGTTTTCTTCACAAATTTTTTTTCGTTTTCGAAAATTCGTTTTCGAAAACGGGAAAGAGAACGCGTTTTCACCGTTTTGAAAAATCGAAAACAGAAAACGACCCGAAAACGGTAAAGAGAACAGGGCTTTAGTTTTTCCAGAGTAAGAACTATACTAAACAATTGTTAAATTAAATGGGAAAATTTGGCAAGAATAAAAACTTGGTAATTGAATAATTTCGCTTCACTGATAAAATTTCTCAATCTTGACTGGGTCAGTATGCTAAATAATTACATAATATAATAATTTTATTTAAAATCTTTTGTTGTTTGGTAAAATATATAAAATCATAATTGGTTAAATAGGTAAAATGTTGTAATAAGGAATTTTTTACTTGTTATTTTTCAATTCATTTTTTTCTTCTGAAAATAGAAAATACACCTCTAAATTTACTTTCTTTTTTCTTTGTACTCAAACCAAAGTTAACATTGTCCCTTACTTTTTGCATGCATATACCAAATTTGTATTTTTTTTTTTTAGAAATTAATTATTTAAGGTTACGATGCTTGTAATGCTTCTTTTGAAAATATAATTGGTAAAACATAGTTTTATTTAAATCCTTATAATCCTCGTTAGGCTTATTCAAAATCTCTTCGTCGATGGACTATCTCATCATCATATTATAAAGGGGTGATTGGCTTCAATCATATTTTGTAGATAACTTCAAGTAATAAATTTATTGATAAATTAAGGTAATAATTTTTTAGATTCCAACATTATTATTTTTTTGCATTTTCAGCTTCCCACGAGAGTATAAATTTATTTGACAAACTATATTCACTAGATTTGGGGTATTTTTAAGATTGTCCAATTTTAAGGGTATGAGTTGAAAAATATCCACTCATTTGAATTTAGTGTCAACTTGTCTATTATACCCTTAATGAAAAGCTACATTTTGAAATGGTATTCTTGACATTTGATTTTTTTTATCAATTTATCACGAATTTTGAGAAGTGACTTTCATGGAAGCTACATTAAAATAATGTTTCTCGACATTTCATATGTCATTCTTGACATTTGAATACCGTTTCATTTGTCTAGAATGACATTTCATTTTGAACATGACGTTTTTCTACATTTAAAAATGCCGTTCTCTAAATTTCTGAATCAATGAAAAACATAACATTTATTGTGATTTGACATGTATACTTTTTAAAATAAATATGGCAGATTATGTATCAAAATTTTATTGGCCAATAACAATATTACAAAAATGTCCATTTTTTTGTCTTAGTGTGAAATTATAAATTGCTAATAAGGATATTTTGGTCTAAATTCTTTCAAATTAGACATTTTTGTAATGATTGACATTTTTACAAATGACTAGATAAAAATGAATATTTCGTTAAATTTCCTCGTTTTATAATTATAAATTAATTACG